TGCTGGCTTTCCAAAAGCATCAACAAAGACCTGCAGAATGACAAAAGTATATGCAGTATCTGCTGCATTGCCTGCTTTTTTTAATGAGAACATTTTAAAAATGTAGAGGAAAATTTTGCTTTGCACAATGAGTGAATGGTAGGCTGAATTATAGGCCTGGTGTTTTTTTGTGATAAAAAATGTCACCAAGCTATAGGGGGGAGGGGCGCCAAAACAATAAACATGCCCTATAAAATTTGCATCTTCTATTTTCCGGTGGGCACCCAACTGTGAGCAACACAACACAGGCGCATTTTTTTCATCCAAATGCGCGCCAGCCATCAAGTAGTTGGTGCAAATTTCGTGTGGCGCGCAAATCCCATTTTGGCGCCCCTGTACGGCGGCGCCTTTGTGCAGTGAACAACCTGCACACTGTGTCTGGCGGGCCCTGTGTGCAGGTCATTTCGGCAACCAAAACTTTGAAATCTGTGCAGTGAAACTCCTGGCGGTTGGCAGCTGGTGATATCCATCAAGGGTGATTTCAAAAATTGAGAAGAAATTGCGGATAAATATTTGAAAAAGTCCTGAGTCAGATGCCATCCGACACATTTCGAGGTTATCATGAAGTTTTTGCCGGTGCCTTGACAAAGTTCAGTAGGAAGTAAAAAAATTCTCCATTGAGACATCCCTGCCGGGATTCGAACCCGGGACCTTTGGATTAGAAGTCCAACGCGCTATCCACTGCGCTACAGGGACTTGATGACTACAACGCGCGCTTACGAATGAATATGAATAAAATGGTTGAATCGAAGGCCCAGAGAATAGAGATGATCAACCTTTCCAAGGGAATGAATAATAGAAGTTGTTATACATTATCTGACTGACCCCTTTTCCACTTGTACTTCGACCAGGCTTCTCTGCGAAATCTTGCCGTTTCAAAGGGCGCAGAAGAGTTCCAATTACATTTCCCATTGCTTAACCGGGAAAAAAGGAATGCCAACCATACACAGGCAGTACTTCAAAATGTCAAGGTAGGTTATCCAGTGATGTTTCATTCATTTATACAAGGGTTGTCCCCCATGAACATTGACTGGGGTATCTTTAGAGTGGTACAGCTGTATATAAAATTTCATGATTTAGCCTTTAAAACCAAGATTCTTGGAATTTTTCCAGATTTTTCAAAAGAAAAGGTAAATTTTGACATAATGGTTATAAAAAAGTTTTCATTCTTTTGTGCTGTTCTCCACTTGTATCACAGGGTACTAATAATTTGGAATCACAGCTAAAGAAATGAAAATTTCACTCTGTTTCTATCAAGAGCATCCCTACATTTTCTGCAATTTTCTAACTTCTTTGCTGATTATTTTCTTCTTAATTAATGAGAAATTCAGTGCATTCTGCATGTTTTGAAAATGCTGTGTTCATTTCCATCTTTTGGAATTCCCTCTTTCAAAAAAATCATCCCAGGCCTAGTTTCTGGCTGTGATGTTTACTTACTGCCTCAAAAAATTCCAAGAGCCTTGGAAAATCAAAGCTATATCATACAATTTCAAATGCAGCTGTACCCACTCTAGACATACCCAAGGCTATGTTCAAGTGAGAGAACCCTTTTGTATATAGCCTGTAACCCTAAAGAATGGTTCCCTGAAACTTTGTGGTTAACCCACAGAGTTATCTTACACTAGTCAGGCAATGAGTGTTAGGAAAGATTGCGTCACTCCAATCATGCCAAAAGTCTGGTCATCTTTTCAAACCTTGGTGTGGAAAGATAACCATATATTTTGTTTCAGAGCTTTGGCACTTCCTCCCCTTGTGCTCCTTATCACATTGGCAGAATTGCATGTAGTCTTTCAATGAGCCAGAAATATTTTTCTGGCATCAGATCTAACTCAGTTGTGGCCAGTTGTTAGTCTCAAAACTTTGCACCAGGCAAAGTTTCTCAGTGTTTGTACCTTTGTGGTCTTGTGTTGTGTTGTGATTGTCTTGTGCTACAAATATAATAAAACATATCTATAGTTTATAAAAAACGGATTTCCTCTTTCTTAGATAACAAGCCCTTGAAGTGTTCATATTTCTATTAGCTCCTGCATAGAATATTCAACATGGATTAGGATTCCAGCATAACATCTAAGTTGCTTCAAGTTTTACATTGATCAACGTATTTTGTGTGTGTTCATTTACAGGTTTAACACTGAAGATGCCTCAAGATCTTGGCCTTGTGATACCAATAAAAAAAGATTGCATCTACTTGAAATTTCTGAGAAACTCAAGGATAAAGAAATCTGGGAAAGACTTGTATGTATTTCATCTGGATGTAACTAAGACATACATTGAATGATCATACTTTCTTGACTCACTATTTTTGCGTAGCTGATGTGGCTGAAGTACAGCATGGAGGCAAAAAAGAAACCTGGGAAACCAATCCACTTCCAGATGAAAAGCCGTTTTCAAGAACAGATGGTGTTACAGGTTAACTGTGACAATACTTCATCTGCTGCTTGTGCAAGTAAAATACCTTTATTATCTTCAAAAGTTCAAAATGTTTCTGCAATTACAGTGGTTTTGATCTTTTTGGAAGGTGGTTGTCCTGCTGTTTTCATAAAAACTTTTGAGAAGCGCAACAATCAGGTGTGGGTAGCATTGCAAGATGATGAAAACATTCCAGAGCACAATCTTGCACCACTGCATCTGCAGAGGCGTTTGGCCAATGAAAGCTTGAGAATGGTGAGCTAATGCAATGTTTAATTTGCTAGGATTGAGACATAATGCATTTCCTAATGTTTTGCACAATTTGCAGCCACTGAACAAATTACCTGGCAATTTTGCTCTGATTGAGGAGTTTTCTGCCCAGAATGGCAACAAAAGCCAAGAAGAAATTGATGAATCTTTCAGGTGGGTTGCTGCCAATGAATTGTTGTTGGCTCCCATAAATGGTGCTGGGCCGTGAACTCCTCATTAGAGTGTGTAGCAGTGGGGTAGCTTGCAAGTCAGTGCTTGCATCCAGTTGGAAAGTGAACCTTAACATTTGTGCATGGACCTCAGATTTTGCAAACTTCTTTAGGTCTCAATTTAGGCTGATGGTGTCCCTTCTTCTTGATCTTTTTTTTTGTTGATTCAATTTTTTTCCCATTCACTGATGATAATATTTATGGAATTTCCTTCATTACCCCATGCTGCATACAATTACAAACATCATACCGTTGCTATGGATGTTTTGAAAATGAGCAACACAATGAACATTTCTGTGAAGCCACACATGATTGGATCCATTGTTGAAATTCGCAAAGCAATGTGGATTATGGAACAATCAAGAAGCAAACAATATTCATCTCCATTTCAGCAGGGGTTCCCTCGGTTGATCTTTGAAAAGTAAGTGCGCAACCGTAGTGCATAACTCATACAAAAAGTTATCATTGCTAATTCCTATTTACACTTGAACAAAATTACTGCAGTTTGGAGAATCATGACGAATGTTGCATTTGTGGAATGACAATCAATGATCACTTCTTGTTTTGGGTAATTTGCGCATACATATTTGTTATTCATACAGCTTGGTGGCATTTTCTGTACTTCAGGTCAGTTGCATATCCCTGCACTAGATAGAGGTACTTGAATAATACCTCTATTATTCAAGAGAGGTAATAAAAATGTCAATAAGTTGCGCGAGTCAGTGTTTCCTGGTTGTTATTAATATTTCCTCATGAACTCAGCTGTGCATTCAGCACTGATGTTGTTTAAGTTGTTTTGGAGTGACAAGCGTCTGTTTTTAATGGAGGGGGAATTTCCTTTCTCTCCATATTTTTTGGTTGTGGATCCTCAGTTATTGAAATTGCATAATAGTGTTTTGATACACAAAAGTGTGGTCCACAGACTGGTGTGTTGAATATGTCTCAAAGTATGAAGTGACCTGAGTTTGCTTTTCCATTTGCAAGTGTCAAAATTTCCCTTTCTAAAGAAATGTAGGGCAGCGGGTCAGAATTTACAAGGAAGAAATCATGTGCCGTAATTTATTCCTTGCGGCGTTTGCTCTTCCTAGGGTAGGTACAATGAGACCACCACATGCAGAAACCTTCACCTGCAGAAAATTTGAAAAAGGGACACTTATTTTCTAATAAGAATTAATAAAATAGGCCTTACATGAGGACACTGACTCAACATGGGGACATTTTTTAATAAAGCCACAAATACATTTCAGGCCATATTAAAAGAAACAGATATTTCCAACCCTAAAATTTATGCAAGAATAGTTCTTGGGCATTTTTCTCACCAATTTACCATCCGCTTAGCTGATTTAAAAAAAATTACCTCCAGCAGAGAGGCACTTCCTTCTATCTTTTTCACTTGAATACTATTTTCACAGAGAATGCCAACATTTCAATCTGCTCTACAGAGGTATCAGAATGCAATTCCTCAAATGTCCATATTGTGTTGAAGTATATTGATTGGAATCAGTTTAAACTGGGAGACAATTTTTATTTTCATGGACTTCTGGTGAGTATTTCATAAATAAAACACCAATTAAAAATCAAATAATGTAAGTCCAAGGGAAAATGAGACTCAACTTAGGAACACTCTGGATGCACCAATTACATCCGCATTTTGGGATCTCCCTGTATTTCCATGATTTTTTCAAATTTGTGACAATCTGTGTGAGTGTGTGACTAGAAATCTTCGTGATAACATTCACGGAATCTGCTCAATTTTAAATTGCGTCGCAGACTGCGTGTAGGTGCTGCAATCGTGACTCGAATATGATTTTCTGAAACACAATTCTACCACAAAAAAACTTTTCTTTTCATGCAAGTGCGAGGCTTTCTTTTGTGTGAAATGGATTTCTCGTCCATAATCTGATTTGCTTCATGATCGAAAGCAGAAAAGACGAACCATTCAAAACGGAACACTGAAGGAAAAAACCAGGCGCGTAAATTGATGCTGTTCCTCTAGTTCTACTTCACCCCATTAGTATGATCATGCTCTTTCCCACACAATTACCCGCCCTGGAAGCAAAATTCAATCATTTCAACTGATTTGATTCAGAGATTTTTGAGTCCACTTTCTCACGGTTAGTGCTTTGAAAGATGCCTGTATCCACGAGAAATTCGCCAGAGATAGATCAACGGTATCCATAAGCGGTTTGAAATGTCATTTCAAAAATTGCTCGCTTTGTTGTTTGTGACTTTCGTTGCTTTCGCCTGCTTTTCTAAGGGTGAGTGTCTCAGTGCTCGAATAACCTCTCTAGTTTTTTGTTCCATTGAAAAATAATCATTTATTTTTTTTTTCAGCCACACTTTTGGGGGCATTGAAACCTTTGAATGGCGATTTTGGCGGTGAATATGAGATATTTGCAAATATCAGGGAAGTTTCTCACAGGATGTTTTGTTTGTTTACAGGGCACATTGACCTGGTGGACAATGAACAATCTGCTTACGAGTTTGGGAGGAAAATGGGTTTCAAGCAGGCGACCAAACTGAGGCTGAATCAAGCATTGAAAGACGACGTCAGAACTGGTCACTTCAAGACATTCCTGGATACATTTATCCGACGCTGAATATACAGGGAGACCCCCATATGTGGATACCTTGACCTGCGGACAATTCCACATAGGTACACTTATTTCCGAATAAAAAATTTATAAAAAAGGACCAACATGAGGACACTGACTCGACATAGGGACATTTTGTTATGAAATTGCTAATTCATTTCAGGCCAAATTACAAGAAACAGATATTTCCGACCCTACAACTGATGTAAGAAAAGTTCTTGGGCATTTATCTCACCAGATTACCATCCATTTAGATAATTTAAAAAAAACTACCTCCAGCACAGAGGGAATTCTTTCTCTCTTGAATATAATTTTTTTACAGAGAATGCCAACATTTCTATTTAATGTACACAGGAATCAGTATTCAATTACCCAAATGCCCATATTGTGTTGAAGTATATTGATTGGAATCAGTTTGAATTGGGAGACCATTTTTATTTTCATGGAATTACAGTGAGTATTTTGTACATATAACACCAATCAAAATTATATAATGCAAGTCTAAGGGAAAATGAGACTCAACTTAGGGACATTTTGATGCACCAATTATGTCCACATCTTGGGGTCTCACTGTACCTGGATGCAGGATTTCATCACTTTTGAATTCATCTTTGAAAAATAGCCAGAAAACAGATTTGCTTTTTCAGGATTGTTGAAATTGACTTTGGCCCGCAATTTTGTCGAAAATCAGGTATGGGATTTTAGCATGCAAGATAAACTTAATGTAGTGGAATTATGTTGGGAGACATACTGCATTGGCAATTCTTCACTACTCAGTAGCGGTCTTGCGCTTGGAAATTTTGGCCAAATCGTGACTCAAACCTTATTTGTGTCATTTCCAGATTCATCTATCTCCAGACAACCGCATTCAACAAAGTGACGATTTGCTGATGCTACTGATACTCTCGACTCATTGGCCATTTCGCAAATGAACGTCATCAAATTTGACTTCGTATTTTTGGCGCGCATCTGTCACTGGTTTTCTTGTATGAGTCTTATTTTGTGACATCCATCAACAAATAAAGCCGTTATTCAGCCTGGTATTGGGTCATACTTTACTCACCGGTGTATGTCAAGGATTTTCAGTTCTTGTGGCAATTATTTGTGCGGTTGTCTCTCACAAAAATGTGGGACATTGAAATTAAAAAAAAGGGTATCCAGGATTGATTGGTTATTGGACTGTTCTGCTTTTATGTGTATGAGGGTGGAACGTTTGGGATTGATTCTCTCTTGGGATTGCGAGGAATTTTTTTTCAGGATATTCCTAGGGAAGCTTGCTGCCATTTCATTTTGTGCCACTTTTTGGGTTGGGTTGGGATCTAATTGGCAACTCCATGTGCCCGTGAAGCGAGTTTTACCCTGCAAGTTTTGCGTCGACAAGGAATACTTTGATCCAGTGGAAATCAGGTGAACATTATTTCAGGCATTTGTCAAGTCCTGTGATTTGTATGAAATATGAAGATCATTCTGTGTACTGTTGAACTTCTAGGGACCAGCCAAAAAAATCGCGTTCAGGAGGTTTGCGTGATGAGGAAACTACTGTTTTTGTTTAGGGAGAGTAAGGAAAATTGTGGGAATTGTGATCAGTGATATTTTGGGCCTGAAATTGCTTTTCAAATGATTTCACAGGAAGTTGAATGCGGAGGCAAGGGTTTACTTGTCAAATCAGTACCCATGAATGCAGAACAGTTTCTTGACCTTCAATGCAATGCCCCAACAAATGAAGAATTGTCAGAGGATGACATTGTCAAGATTGTCAGCAAAGAGGAAAATTGCAAAATATCCACAGAAGAAGAGGTTGAAGAACAGCATGTTTGAACAACAAAAGAACCTAAGGTGGGACTTATGAAAGTGCAATGTCTCTTGAAGAAGCATTGTGAGGAGACCATTGCCACAGATCATGTGATTACACTGGACAACTTCATTCAAAAATTGGAGAGAAGAAAAAGAGGCAGACATCTATTCACAATTTTTCATGCCTATCAATGCTCAAGGTACAGTAAAGTTTTCTCTGATGGAATATTAAAATTGTACTTCTAGAATATTAAATTGTAAAGTTCACTAGACATGTTTGAAAATCAATTTCATGCTGGAATGGCTTTTTTAAAATCCTGGAACTTTTCTGTCTGTTCTAGGTAAATGAGCTGTTGATCAGAATCAATGAACCACACAGGATCCATAGAGGATTCACAATGACTGTTGGAAATTCTGATTAGAATTGTACCTCTAGATTATTATTTCTAATTATTATTCTAATTAAATTTCCCAGGCATTATATTATTTCTGAGGACCTTGTAACTAGTTTGATTTGGTCCAGCCAAATTTGTTAAACGCAGTTTGAAAAGACAGCAGATTTCTTTATACAGTACATGCAAACCCAGGAAAACCATCTTGTGTCAAGAATTGCGTCAAAGATGTGTTACAAAGGGTATTTTCACCATTGTGCAATATTTGATTGTGGTGAGATTTTCTCACCTGCACCTTTGTGGTACATCCCCTCTTTCCACAAGATCAACTCATGCATTAATTCAGCCTCTGCTGCTCAAATATGTTAATCTTGTAACAGTGTTTCAAGAGATGCTTATCAATGCAAATATGTTTCCCTAAAAACAGTCCCATGACTCCAATTCAAGTACTTTCTCAGCATATTGATTCAGAAGCATTGAACTGTATAATATTAAACTCTTCCCCCCAATTCAGGACCCCAAACTCTAATATAAAAACCCGGGCCTAGACTAAGAAAAGACAGTTGAATCACCAATCCTCTGAGAAGGAGTCAGAGTTCCATCTAGGCATTTCCCCATCAGACACATTGTCCTGATACTTGCAAGTTGTTGAAATTGCCTGAATAAATTCATTTGGTTGAAGTCTGTCTGTATTTTTTTGATAAGTCTCACATTGTCAGCACAGGAACATTCCTCCACAATTAAAGGAGAGAAGAACCTCAAGAGTATACACTCTTAATGTCCCCCTCAATTTATCTTAGTTATTCTTTAAAATAAGAATTAATGGAAAGTAAGATAACAGATGTGTCTATAAAGTGTGTGTTTACATGTGATAAGTATATTCATTCATAGCGTAAAAGCTCTGTCATAGAGACTTGGAACATAGTTTGTTGTACTGAAAATTTTGTTGTAATGGTACTGGCTGTGATAATATTTTACTGTACATTCATTCCTTATCAAGTTTGCACAGCAAGATCACCTGGAACACAAAACAACTTTTGGGTAAATATTTATACTCCACAGAAGGCAACAGGGTGACCCTCTTACAAAGTTGGCTTCCTGGGTCATAAGTTGACTTGCGCAAAAAAAAGCAAGATTTTTGATCAATCAGGAAAAAAGAGAGAAAACAAAGAGACACGACCAGCCTTTTGCTTTTCCTTTCTGCTCCGGATGAAGGATAAATGTTGGTATGCACAGCTAATTTCATTTGCTTCGCCCACGTTTTTCCTTCCCACAAAGCAGAGCTGATAATTGTCTCAATCTGTGCATGCAAGGAGGGAGGAGATCGAACGTGTCCCGGGGACTCGATCAATTGCATTCTCAGGATTATTCCTGACATCCTTCCCCACAGGCACACTTTTTTATTTATTTGCTGAACAAAGGCTCGGCGCATTGTCGGTATTCCTTCTTGNGACTTCGTATTTTTGGCGCGCATCTGTCACTGGTTTTCTTGTATGAGTCTTATTTTGTGACATCCATCAACAAATAAAGCCGTTATTCAGCCTGGTATTGGGTCATACTTTACTCACCGGTGTATGTCAAGGATTTTCAGTTCTTGTGGCAATTATTTGTGCGGTTGTCTCTCACAAAAATGTGGGACATTGAAATTTAAAAAAAGGGTATCCAGGATTGATTGGTTATTGGTCTGTTCTGCTTTTATGTGTATGAGGGTGGAACGTTTGGGATTGATTCTCTCTTGGGATTGCGAGGAATTTTTTTTCAGGATATTCCTAGGGAAGCTTGCTGCCATTTCATTTTGTGCCACTTTTTGGGTTGGGTTGGGATCTAATTGGCAACTCCATGTGCCCGTGAAGCGAGTTTTACCCTGCAAGTTTTGCGTCGACAAGGAATACTTTGATCCAGTGGAAATCAGGTGAACATTATTTCAGGCATTTGTCAAGTCCTGTGATTTGTATGAAATATGAAGATCATTCTGTGTACTGTTGAACTTCTAGGGACCAGCCAAAAAAATCGCGTTCAGGAGGTTTGCGTGATGAGGAAACTACTGTTTTTGTTTAGGGAGAGTAAGGAAAATTGTGGGAATTGTGATCAGTGATATTTTGGGCCTGAAATTGCTTTTCAAATGATTTCACAGGAAGTTGAATGCGGAGGCAAGGGTTTACTTGTCAAATCAGTACCCATGAATGCAGAACAGTTTCTTGACCTTCAATGCAATGCCCCAACAAATGAAGAATTGTCAGAGGATGACATTGTCAAGATTGTCAGCAAAGAGGAAAATTGCAAAATATCCTCAGAAGAAGAGGTCGAAGAACAGCATGTTTGAACAACAAAAGAACCTAAGGTGGGACTTATGAAAGTGCAATGTCTCTTGAAGAAGCATTGTGAGGAGACCATTGCCACAGATCATGTGATTACACTGGACAACTTCATTTCAAAAACTGGAGAGGAGAAAAAGAGGCAGACATCTATTCACAATTGTTCATGCCTATCAATGCTCAAGGTATAGTAAAATTTTTTCTGATAGGATATTAAAATTGTACCTCTAGAATATTAAATTATAAAAATTCACTAGACATGTTTGAAAATTAATTTCATGCTGGAATGGCTTTTTTGAAATCCTGGAACTTTTTTGTCTATTCTAGGTAAATGAGCTGTTGATCTGAATCAATGAATCACAAGGGATGCATACAGGATTCACAATGACTGTTGGAAATTCTCATTACAATTATACCTCTAGATTATTAATTCTAATTATTATTATACGTAGAATTTCCCAGGCTTTATATTATTTCTGATGACCTTGTAAGTAGTTTGGTTTGGTCCAGCCAAATTTGTTAAATGCAGTTTGAAACAACAGCGGATTTGTTTATACATGCAAGCCCTGGAAAACCATCTAGCATCAAGAATTGCATCAAAGATGTGTTACAAAGGGTATCTTTGCCATTGTGAAATATTCAATTGTTGAGATTTTCTCACCTTCATCTTTGTGGTGCATCCCTTCTTTCCACAAGATCAACTCAAGCATTAATTCAGCATCTGCTGCCCAAATACAAAATGTAAATCTTGAAACAGTGTTTCAAGAGATGCTTATCAATGCAAATATGTTTCCCTCAAAACAGTCACATGACTCCAATTCAAATACTTTCTCAGCATATTGATTAAAAGCATTGAACGGTATAATATTGAACTCTTCCCCAATTTGAGGACCCCAAACTCTAATATAAAAACCCCAGCCTAGACTAAGAAAAAACAGTTGACCACCAATCCCTTGAGAAGGAGTCAGAGTTCCATCTAGGCATTTCCCCATCAGACACATTGTCCTGATATTTTCAAGTTGTTGAAATTGCCTGAATAAATTCATTTGGCTGAAGTCTGTCTGTATTTTTTTGATAAGTCTCACATTGTCAGCACAGGAACATTCCTCCACAATTAAAGAAGAGAAGAACCTCAAGAGTAGACACTCTTAATGTTCCCCTCAATTTATCTCAAGTTATTCTTTAAAATGAAAATTGATGGAAAGTAGGATAACAGATGTGTGTATCAAGTGTATGTTTACAGGTGATAAGTATATTCATTCCTAGTGTAGAAGTTGTGTCATAGAGACTTGGAACATAGTTTGTTATACGGAAAATGTTGTTGTAATGGTACTGGCTGTGATAATATTTTACTGTACATTCATTCCTTCTCAAGTTTGCCCAGCAAGATCACCTGGAACACAAAACAATTTTTGGGTAAATATTTATACTCCACAGAAGGCAACAGGGTGACCCTCTTACAAAGTTGGCTTCCTGGGTCATGAGTTGACTTGCGCAAAAAAAAGGCAAGATTTTTGATCAATCAGGAAAAAAGAGAGAAAACAAAGAGACACGACCAGCCTTTTGCTTTTCCTTTCTGTTCCGGATGAAGGATAAATGTTGGTATGCACAGCTAATTTCATTTGCTTCGCCCACGTTTTTCCTTCCCACAAAGCAGAGCTGATAATTGTCTCAATCTGTGCATGCAAGGAGGGAGGAATAGCTTGCACAGGGCCCCTGAGCTAGTTAACGTAAGAGTCCTAATAAGGACTGTAGGAAGGGGTGTCCGTGTGAAAAAATAAATAAACGACGTGTTTCCGAGCCGCGTAACAGCCATAAGGAAGAACTTGTCCTCAAGTGCCCAATACGATTTCAGTGTGTTCGTGAACCAGTCGAGAGTGTTATGCATAGTCTCACGCTTTGCACAACTGGCCAATAAACGTTGGGATGGGAAGGTGGAATAAAAATAGCTGATGGTAATTTTGGCACAATTTACGCGGAACAATTGAGTGCATATAGAACATCGGTCAACTCAGTGCTGGCTTCAGTGAACACATTTCAGACAATCAAACCTAGTTCGATTTTAGGTGGGCTTTGATTTCGAGAAAATTTTCGACAAAAAAATATTCAATTTAAATGCCTTCAGGAGGAAGTAACGCGCCAACTCGAGTTCTGTCTTGATAAATTACATTGAATGTCGCCTCGAGAAAGAGCAAGGGAATAGAAATAGCCCGCGATATATTTTTCCTTTCAAGTCATGTTGAATATTCAAGCTTCAACACATGTCACACAACGGTGTAATTCAAGTCAGTCACACAAGATGTTAGTCACGGGTCAGGCCATATTGCATAATTGTGACCAAGATGGAAAGCTTGTCAGCTGTACATTTTGTTTCGGCAAGAGACCGGGAATAACAAAAGCACACTGTTGTGTGTTCTTTGGCAACAGAGGCATATAAATTCATAAAATCACGAGATAGTAACACAATTTGTCGCAGGCACTGTTTATAGAACATTTACGTGCCCGTGTGTGTGCCAAACAGGTGACTTTATTCGCACAAGACTGATTCCAGGGGCTGTTGCTCCATATCTTAATGTAATAAGGCGTACTTTGGCATATAAAAAATGAACATGGATAAGTCAAACCTCCCTAGATTGAATTCCTCCATAAATTGAATTTTTTCAAGTCCCTGTCTGAATTTCATTAGAATCAATCCAATAAAAACCTCCCTAACTCAAAAATATTTTTCTCAAAAACCTCTGTAAGTTAAATTTCCTGAGGCCTTTTGGTTATCATTTCCTGAAAATATGTAAGATAAAATGATTAAAACAAATAATTTGATGCATGTTGAAAGGGAGTGAAAGACAAATATGGTAATTGAACCCGCGCCTTAACATTCACCAAGGTGTAAATTCCTTGAGAAGACAGTTTAGGTCCAGAATAACCTCATTCATGATTTCCCAGACTCTTCTCACTTTTCCTCACAACAAAAGTGTTTGTTTGCTCAAGTGGAAACCTACTCAAGTTGAATTTTTGTCCTGGTCCTTAGAAATTCCACTTACAGAGGTTGCACAACACAAATCATTCTTTTTCTGTCTTTTCAAAGGTGAATAATCCATCAACATCGAAATTGACTTAAGTTCAGCTCTGAGAGTGACCAAATATTACCAAAACATTCAGGAAATTAATTTTCATTAGCCAGCTTTAAAATTAATCCACCAATGTTTTGGTAATCTTCATAATTCCATCTTGGTCACAATTATGCAATACAATATGGGTTGACACATTGATCAACATCTTGTGTGACTGACTTGAATTACATGATGACATGCATTGCGCTTGAATATTCAACATAACTTGAAGGGAAAATATAGGGCCACCTATTTTTATTCCATCTCTCTTTCTGGAATCGTCATTCCATGTCTTAATTTATCAAGAAAGAACTTGAATTGGCGCTTTGCTTTCTTCAGAAGGCATTCAAAAGAAATATTTTTTCTGCAAGCAAATTGTGTCTAAGTGACAAGAACGTATGGTTCTTGTGACCATTCTGTGGCTTTTGGGACCATAAAATTGCATAACATTTGAAAGAGAATTGAAGAAGCTTCCATTTGGTGTCTTGTTTGTTGCCACAGCTCAATTTGCTACTGAGCAATTTCAAGTAAAAAATCAGTTCACTTTTTTGGGCCGAATCCTGTATCTTATTATAATGCCTCCAAACAAGGTTGGGGAACTGGACTTGAAATTACTATGCACAGAAAGTTTTTTTTCCAGAATATCTAAAAAAATTGGAGTTTTCTCTGTTTGCACAGATTTCCTTTTGCGTTTTTACTATGATGTTTGAATTGGTTTAGAACAGAGCATTTCTGGCATTGGATTCAACTGAAACTCAGTGATTTCACTCCACTCTCTCAAAGACCAGCAGATATGAGCTTCCTTATTTTCAACAAAAACCTTTGTTTTGGATACATTTTAATAAAATCTTTTGTCTTCCAAATGCAGCAAATATTTTGGGCGACAAAATCAAAAATATTTGTGTAGCCTTCGAATTGCATACCTCAAATTGCGAGCGGAAAAGTTCTTGACAATGTTTTCCAACCCAATTCTTCTAGCTTCAAACCAATTCAACTTCCTCCGTACTTTTCATTTTGAGATTTTTTCACAAAAGAACCTGCTCCAACCTGCCGGAATTTATCATCGAAACCCTTTTCTTCAGGGAACGACAGGAATAACATCCTCCATTTCTTGTGTTCCGTAATTTTTTTCACATTTCTTTATTGGCTGTCACCGACCGAAACGTGTCAATTTGTAAACGAGAAAAATGGCACCGGTTCTCAACAATGCGACGACCGAGGAAAAACATCCTCAGCAGCAACAGTTGGAATGACACAAAAAAAAGGAGAATCATCCAGAATTTTTGCAAGATGAGATCGACGTGGGCATTTTTGGGAAGAAAACAAATGTCCGAAGGAAAGCTTCTGGTTTTCGATTCGAGTCTCGCGCTTTTTATACCCATGTTCTCCGGATATACATTTTTTTTTTAGAATTCTTTGGTTATGTTTTCTTTTTTCTCAAGTCCTCGGATTTCGCGGAAATGTTCATCGTTTTCCGGCTTCGCTCATGGCTTTCGGGATCCCGAGCAGCGAGTTGATGAGTTCAGCATTGCGTTTGGACGCTGTCATCGGAATCAATTGATCGTAAGGCGAATTATTGCCGGAATTCGTGGTCATTGCGAGGATCCGTGAGGCCCATTCCGCGATCAACTGGTTGCCGATCATAAAATAGACCCATCACACACAAATAGAAAAATCTCTCAAGATAATTAGTTAATCAATGTGATTACCCAGTTAAAACTGAACTGACCTGGCGTTCACGAGGTCGGAATTCCTCAGAAGGTCTCGCACTTCCGGACTGAAACATGACTGCGCAGAGGCAGATGACAAGGAACAACAGCGAAAAAGCTCCGCAACGCATTTTTTGTTTTTGCGAAAGTTTTATTTTCTCAAAAATGATTGAGTAACTCGAAAGCTTGATGAAAACTGGGAGAATCTCGGAAGGGGAAAATACAGAAAAATGTTCAACACTCAGTATGGAGTTTTCAATGGCTATATGTTGATGAATCCAAAACCTGGTACAGTATCTTCATTTTCAATCTCCAAGTTTCATAAAAAAAAATTTTCTTAGAAAATTGAACGATAATATTTGGTTTCAGTCGTCAATGTTTCGTGCGATGAACGCCTGAATAAAAATTGATTTTTCGCTGGACGCAATGAAAATAAATTGAATTCACAGTCTGCTGAAAATTTTTACCCAGAGTCCTTGCCACATTTTTGGTTAGAGACTGATACCATCTCAGTAGATGAAAAAAAATTTAGCCAAACGTTTTGGCTACAGAAAAAAAGTTCGTCCACCTGCTGAACTTCTTCCCACTGCTCAATTGAAATATTCACACGCATTATTCACAAATATGTAAAATTTGCATCATCATACAACATGAAAATTTTAACAAGATTAATCCCAAGCTTCTAAAGATTTTACCCTATATTTGAAATAAATAACAGTTAGACCCCCAGATGTGGATGTAATTGGTGCATCAAAAGTTTCCCAAAGTCAAAATGTCCCAAATTCAAATCTCATTTTCCCCATGAACTTATATTATATAATGTTGAATTGGTGTTTCATGGAAGAAATTTTCTTTAAAATTCCATGAAAAAAATTATTTGCCACTAACTCAATAAGAACATTTAAGAGGAAATATAGTGTACCTCTGTACAGTAGTGGGATCTGTGGAAACAACACTCAAGTCACACAGAGAAAACGAAGTCATTCTAAGCTAAAAGCAATTTATTTTTCAGCTGAATGGAAGGTGAAAATCATGGGAAAAATACCAAAGAATTTGTCTTGCATAGATCTTAGAGTAGAAAATGTATGTTCCTTGCAGTTGAGCCTAATTAAAGTTGAATTTCCGGAAAATTATTGGCCAGTTTATCATGCTCTAACTGAATGTCGAGTCTGTGTCTGCATGTTGGGCTTTTTTTTCATTAAAAAAATATGTACTCATGCTGAATTGTCCGAATGTGAAGGTGTCCGCATGTGGGGGTCTCACTGTACATTAATTGAGCTTGGTATCCCGAATTTGGTTTCAGATGTAGCTTTTCCACCTGAACTTTCATCTGAAACTTCAGAGTGCTCATTTTCCCGATATGCAATTTACAGAATTTAGCTGATGGCTATCTCAAGCGCGGATACTTTTATCTTTGTTGGAAGATGACGCAAATTTTCCGTCTCTATAAAGTGCAGTAAGCATCTGGTGAGGAGAAAAAATCCTAAATGGCAGAGAAAATCTTTTCCAAATCCACCCCGCGATGATACAGCCGAATTTGCACAAATGATCTCTCAGGTAAATTTCAAAGAGCTGATCATTTTATACACGTCTGAGAAGCGAAAGTTTTTCTACATTAACTGTTCGGGAAAATCCAGAATTTCTACAGCATTTTCAAAGTACCTCTTTCTCAAGCAGGAGTAGTTGCTCAACTGACGGCCTGCCAAGCACAACTTCTCTTAAATAGTGCCAGGGCCCAGAGACGAGATCCCCTTGAGGAATAACCCGGGTTCTTTCTCCGTGCACATCAGGACACGTTTGCTCATGGGAGAAGAAACAAGAAAGAAAGGAACCCCTTTTTTCTCTCCAATACCTTCATCTTTTTCATGCCCATCATCGAAGTACATTTTTTTCCAATAGCCCAGGGATTGAATTCAAACAAAAACACAGGATCGAAATTCAAACTGGATCCATGACGCGCGTAAAAATAAATATAATTCAAAATTCATTTTTCAACTTCATGAAATTGTGAAAGCATCACATTTCGGTTTGGAATTTTCTTTCATGCGGTTCTTGAGTTCAATATTCAACGTGTTTCACGTCGAACGAACCATTTTGCAGAATTTATGAGCATTTTTTGTGATATACTCCAGACTTGGAGTGTGCCGCGGTATAAGATTTTTTTTTGGTCAGAGACGCAAATGGCTGAATCCTGTTTTTATTGGCCGAAAATATAAAGAAAAATTCTTCTTGTAAGAATCGGCATTGAGTTCCAGCATCGATCCTTCATCGTACAATGTACTTGTCATTCGGGGCACAAATCTAGAGGGAAAACACGTCAGGACCAAGCAAGGCTTCCTGCAGGGAATGTAATGCAATTTCAATTGTTTGTCCAAGGTGGTCCTGCAAGCACTCGTCCATATGGGACTTCAACGATTCACCCATCCAATTATCAGATATCCAAAATTAGTTGAGTAATCATTTCGACCTTGCGTTTTCTTTCAGCAATGATCGTCGGAAAAGAAGGAAGACCAAAAAAAAGGAAGAACAAGGATGGCTCTGATTATGTTTGCTGATTTATTTTCGTGGCAGCAGCTTGTTTCCTTATCGAATTACTCCAGTGGGCAATCTATTCTGAGCATAAAAATGTCAGGAAATCCTTCACAACATTTCTTGAGGGCTGCGGGAAATTCAGGTGGGCGATTTTTTTTGGTAGAGCAGTGTTCCCTAACCTTCTTTGGCCCGAATTTCCATAGAAAAATTTTGCGGACTGATTTTCTCCAAAAGGAAAAAAATTGCGGTCCTTCAAGGTTTCATATAATTTTTGCAGACTCACAAAAGTCTTGCTTTGAAGAGTTTATGGAAGTATTTAAAGTTTCTGCCTTTCTGTAAAAGTTGAGTCAAGTAGTTCAGTTGTAAAAGTTGAGGAATTAAGCAGCTATAGCTGAATGTAACCAAAATATTTGACAGGTGGGATTGAAGAAAGGTTTATTGGAATGGAATATTAGAATAATTTATTTCTGCAGGTGAATATTTGTCTGAAGTGTTAGCAGAAAAGGCAACTTTTATTTACGCCAAATAATTTCAAATGTCATTTTTCTTCTGAATTTTCAAGTAAAAATAACAGAATTACTCTCAACTCCCAATGAATTCATCATGATAAAAAATTTCCACAGACTGGCAAAAAACTTCTGCGGACCTGCACCTTTCCATGGACCACACTTTGGGGAACACTGATATAGAGCATTTCATGAATGTCTGCCTTTCACCGGACAAATTACCGGCCCTGAACAAAATACTCCACAACTATGTCCGAGCGGGCATAGTGGAACCGGCCCAATCAACCAATATTTGCCGGAGTTCCTGAAATTGAAGAGTGACAATCCAAATGCACCGGCCATCAAACGCTGGCACATTGTCAAGGATTACTGCAAGATTAATAAAGTGCTGGTCACAGACAATTATCCTATGCCTGTGATCCAAGATATATTCCATGCACTTGGCAGACAGAACGTGTACTTCTGCTGCCTTGACTTACACGCCGGCTATTATCACATCCGACTTGCTTATGGCGACCGCCACAAGATGGCCTTTTCCATGCCAACAGGGCAGATGCAATATACCGTCTTGCCCTATGGCCTAAAAACGGGACCGGCCATCTTCCAGAGAACAATGGAGACTATTCACTGCCTGCATCTCTATACAAAATGCTTGGTCTACATTGATGACGTTATTGTCTTTGGCACAACATTTGAAAGCGTCCTCAACAATCTTACACAAGTCTTGGATACGCTAACCGCGGCAGGAGCATCAATTGGCATTGAAAAGCTGCACTTCCTAGCAGAATCCATCAAATTCCTGGGGCACATGGTCAATAAGACAGGCACCCGACCAGCAAACAAGCACCTAAAGGCAGTAGAGGCCTTCCCCAAACCAGCCACAATGCGGCAAATGCAATGGTTTCTTGGACTCACAACATACCTTTGAGCGCACGTTTCAACCAACTTTGCAAACCTGGAAAAAGTGTTAAGAAACACAATACCAGTCAAACCGGCGACCGCACTACAATGGACCCCCGATGCAGATACAGCATTCGAAAGCCTTAAAACCTCAATTGCTCAGGCAGCTTGCTTGGAATGCTTTGAACCTTCTTGGGACATGGAAATCCACTGCAACGCGTCTGCAACAGCAATTGGGGCTATCCTGGTGCAGGTGGACGATCAAGCTCAACCTCACATCATGGAATATGCAAGCCAAGTACTGACACCGGCAGAGACCAGGTACTCAAACACCCTGCTGAACTTCTAGCAGCCATATGGGCCACCACAAAGAAATTTTGACATTACATCAAACACGGGCTGTTCAAAATAATCACAGACCACAAGGCGCTGCTCGGCAACCTGTCCAACACCCAGCTTATCAGCCTCAAGCTTAAAGTGGAATATTTCCAATATACGCTTGTCCATGGTCCCGGCAAAACTCTGACAGGTCCCAACGCACTAAGCTGCATCCAGCTTGACTCGATTCAGTTGAAGGAAGTGCCAGCAGTCAAAACAGGGGCACAAATCATACAGGAGTACCACAAAGAGATGGGACACCCCAATTGGAAAAAGACATTTGACCAACTGCAACACCGGTACACCTGGCCCAAATTACAGGCAGACGTCTTCCAATACGTGACCAGCTGTGCAAAATGCTTCACATTTAACCCAGCCACGTCACGGATTGGCACCCAAATCGAGCAGGTTCCCCCGGCAGAAAAGCACAACTGACTTGGCATCAACTTCTGGGGATCATTTCTGCCATCCCAACAAGGTCACACGTATGTGCTGGTAGCGGCTGACTAATACTCACGCCTAGTTGTGGCCCAAACAATCAAAAGAGCAATGGTGAACGTCCTCTGCTCCTTTCTGGCAGACGCATTTGCCCAGCTAGGCTCTTTTGAGATAATCCACTCCGATGGAGCAGCTGTATTTGGCTTGACAACATTCCAGAGGTTCATCCAAGCAAACCAGATCAAATCCCATGTGGCACAACCCTAGCACCCTAAAAGGAATGGGGCATGCAAATGAGCAATCAAATCTCTTTCAACCATCCTCACAAAAACAGCACCCAACCCCACCTTGTGGGACATGGTACTTCATAAGGCCACCCTTGCCTACAATTGGACACCTCACACAGCAACAGGGCTACCCCCCATCAAACTGTGGCACCTCAAACCTGTCCTGA